CTTGGAAAAAAACCAAGCAAGATTTGGAATGTCTGTGGAGAAGTGGTCGAAGACAGAAGAAGGCTTCTCAAGTGGCATCCTTAGGTTGGAAAGACTTGCGGTATTCTGAATATAAGAATGGTAATGGTAGTATAAGTGTGGGTTGGTATACTTCAGGTAGGGCAATGATTCGTGGAAGGGAGCGTTAAATAGCTCCAACTCTCGAATCAGAAGCAAATAGGCATGAAGAGAACAAGTTGGGGAAGACAATTTCACAGAAAAGTCAGCGAATTTATGAAGTTTACATGTTGACAATTAGTGTCTATCGGTCGCATTATTGTTTAATCAATTATTCCCTTAATTAATACAAAAATGTGCGCGTTTGCAAAAGTGCGTGAAATATCTTTCCACTTCTGATAATATTTAAGTAAATAAGTAAGAAAAACTGAATTTGTTCGTTAAATTTTTTATGTTATCACCTTAGCGTCACTTCACAAAAATTATGAGCAAAAAGTCTATAAACTGGCAGTTGACTTCTGACTTCAAACTACCATGACCCGACTGTATATCACATTCGACCCCTTCTACATTACCCATCTTACCTTTTCTCTGCCTTTGTGTCTGTCTGTCTCTTTTACATCTTTGAATTACTCTTCTGTTCCCCCTCTCCACTTTTTCTCACTTTGATGTTCTTCTCCTCTGTGAAACTTGAAGTCAGCTAAAGGGCTAATGATAAGTATCATAAAGCCCTACATTTGAAATATATATTTCAATTTCTAAAAGAATTATACTAGGAAGAATTAGTCTAATTACTTTGAATATAGTCATCTTGTCATCAAATTTAATAGTTCATGTTGTTAAAGTACAGCACAAAATTGAAGGAAAGTGACTAGATAAGATCTTTAATTTACCTTTCAGCGGTATTTTTATCCATACACCTGTTCAATCATCCAAAGTTATGGAACCCTTAAAGATGTTGAATGTCAGAATATCATTGATTAGCAAGTTCGTATCACTTTACCTTCTTCAGCTCCTCTGTAAAAAATTGAAAGATAGATATTGATTACCTGACTCCTAGTATAGCAAATCTCATTGGAACGTGTATACTTCTACACGCATGAGGTACACATTAATCACTCAAAGTTTTCGTAATCAAATAAGATAAGGCAAACGGAAATAACGAAGTGGTTTTTGAGTCAGTTAATGAGGTACTGCCAAGTTACCTCTTTGACTAATTCCAAAACGCCATTCCCTTCCGGCATTATTAAAGAGGAAGTTGACTCTATATTGTTTCTTCAATCTGATGATTATATTTTATATATTTGTCAAATCCAGCTATCTCTTAACAGGGAAGGCTTCAAGCAAATCGTTAGGAGTGCAACTGAAGTAAGGATAGTAATTAATGAAAGATTTTTAAATATGAGTCCTACTATAACGCAAGGCCAACTATCTTCTAAGTAGCTGAAGTTTTAGTTGTTTTTAAATGGTCCTATCGGTGTATTATATGGTGAAAAATGAGACAATTGAAAGTAGTTGAAGATGCAAAGCAAATTCCTTTGTTTCTACACTGGTATCATTACCAGCACAATTAAATTAATTCGTATAGTAAATATTAATAATATGTTCTAATTGTTTTAATATATTTCTATCGACATATTAGAGCCAAAAAGAAATCATTAACTTTCTATTCATGCATACAAGTCTGTTAGGAGACAGCAAGAAACCATCTGTTTAAAAATATTTTAATAACAATAAATATGATATAAGCAAATTAAGCATTTCCATATAAGATCAATGAATACTACATTGGGAGATTCCACTATTAGCTTATAATCAAATATTTTTATCTTTGCTGGAAGGAATGAGTCCATAAGCACAGTCATGAAGGTGTAAAAACAGGAGGGACCTACAATTTATCAATTTAGTGGATCAATTAAAATAATTTCAGGAAATAAATGGTAGCATCAAAGTAAAGATGAATGGTGAAGCAGCCTATATTCCGTTTCAGTCATAATAGATCATTATTCCATTATTCATTAATTGAACGAGTGAACATGGAACGCTTAGAAACCTAATAGTAGATAATGGTGGACATAGAGTTTTAAAAACTGATATAAAATTAATTCATGAAATAAGGCCTGAGTCGTAATTTTTAAAATAATTTATCCTTTATATTTAGAGAAATTGCATAGTTCAAAACTTTTAAATGGAGTTTGAGAACTAGACAAGTATTTTGGGTGATGATACTGATGATACTAATTGAATTTCTGTGTCCCTGATATAGCCAGCGGTTTTCACTTGCTGTTTTTCACTAATCTCACATGGACGCTTACTTTAGTCAATTTCCTCTTGATTTTGAAAGTATAGGATCTGCATTTGTCAATGCTTACTATGGAAAGCTTCAACAAAATCGCACGGACGTTGCAGATATGTATCATGTAAGTAGGAGTCTTCAGGTTACAATATTTACAGGATTGCGCTTTAATGTCCTATGAGGGCTTAAAGATACAAGGGAAACAAAATATTCTAAAACACATTGAAGTAAGGCGTATGAAAGTTATTATTTGTTCAATTGTTTAGAGTTTATCCTGGAAAACCATTAAAGTAGAAGTGAGTACGTGTGATTTCCAACCGGTCGACAACGGCTACCTTGTATTTGTTAATGGCAAGCTGAAGGTAGGTTGTTTCCCCGTTTTCCGATTTATTAAGGAGATTTTATATTTAATCACATATTCATCTTCAGGTTGATGGTGCTGAAAAGGATTTACCGTTCTCGGAATTTTTCCTCCTGAAGAGGATGAATAATGCGGTTCTTATCCTTCACTCCATATTCCGGCTGAATTTGCACAATTTCTAAATACAACTTGCCTGTTGATTACATATTTCTGCCCTCCTTAAGCTTCATACACAGATTTGTTATTATTCTTCACTAATGACCTCCTCTACACAAACTTTACTAGCCTCTTCTTGTTCTTTGCAGTTAATGCATGAACTTTTTCCCGCTTCTCTTATAACTATCTCTGTCTTTTCCAAACGTTCGCTTTTTCCTATCCTGAGGGCGAAATTGTAGGTGTATTGAAGCATATTTCTCCTCTCTGGAGAAAGTATATTTTTCAATTGTTTATATTATATGGTTCTTTTTAATTTATTAGTGACTAGCCTGTACAAAATAGCATGCATTTATTTAGTAGTTGCAGATAGCTCCGTTCCAAAGCATTGAAATAAGGTGTTTTGTTGTACTTATCTTGATTGAATCGCGAATTCTCATTTTTTCCCGAAGGCAATTCGTTTCCTTCGTATTAGTTTTATTTTCTGTCAATTGTTCATACCTAGCCATGTAAAGTAGCCCTTTAAGACAGTTTGGAAATAAAGAAAAATATTTGGCTTCGGGAAGTTTCACCTCAGATGGATTCTTGGAGTTCTCTTCCATTTGTCGGCTATCGTTTTATTGGATCAAAAATTTAATATGGATATTTTTATCTATAGTCGCATCTTTTCCACTATAGTGGTTACTGTTAATTAATTTAACAATGCTGGATGGGTTTTCCACAACGGTCCAATTTTCGCCTGAAGAATGGACTAACAAATGATCTAACATTACTAGATTTAGATCGAAATGAATTTAAATAATTTTGTCCACTCATCTTGTATACCTACTTGATGGTGCGTATTCAAATGTAGGGTGCTTCCGGTGGTAAATAATGCTTCATATTACCCTGATAGAGCTTTGTTTATTGAAGCCTCATGATTTTGGATTTGATTTTGAACAAAAATGGTAATGCTTGTTCACTGTAAGATTTCAGCACCAACACTCAGAGTGTGATTAAAAATTATTCAAAACTGCGTCGACTGGTTTCTGTTGGCCGTTCTATACAAAATATTGATTACAAGACTTCAGCATTTTTTATGAATCTATTTTACACCACTTCCCATTGCCATCTGCAATTTTCATCTGGTTGAAGTGATTGAATTCCGTCCAAGAATCACTTAAGTTACCAAGATTATTCCCATAAATGGCCAGGGAAACAATCATCAACTGCAGCATGCACTTTCTCGAAATGAGAGGTAGCGAATCCGGTTCACACTGGTTATACTGAATGTTCAGTCTTATTGATTAGGCCTGATAAACGAAAAATAATGTCAGAATTCCAGTTTATAATCGAAGAGATGCAATGATGCCACCTATGTGGCACATAGGGGATTATGATCAGGTTTAAGAACAACCAGTGGGATCTTCGAAACTGACGGTGGAAATGCCAGACAGTAAGCTGGGAAAGGGATTCTTATCCATTATACTCGATGGAACTATTCTGCTCCTTTCACATGAACGGAACTGAAGGAACGCTTTCTCGATTATCTTTAGAATAGACAGATAGGCGGACAGTAAGAACATGAATTTTCTCGATGTTAATAATCAAATTGCACAGATTTTTTGCTTTCGACGTACTCGAAATCAGAATACCTGCGTTCATTATTTCAGGTATTGTTCCTGATACTATGCATGATTGTTACTAGGTAATAGTAGTAATTATACTGTTTAATCTACTGCCTATTCTAATCAATCCTACTTACGTATAATTAGTTGCACTGATATATATATACTAACCGCTAGACAAATCTCTATTCATTGAGTGGCTAAGTAGATTTTGTAAAAGCTCAACAACACTGGTTAGTACATCTGCACATAGTCATAACTTATACTGCTAAGTTAAGACGGGTTTCTCTAAGTACCAAGCGAAAATACGGTTCTAAAGTATCTAGCCGATTTTAGGTCTGCTTTTAAAGCAGGCTTTCAGTCATTATGGATTCTTTCCGATAAAATTCTGTGCCAGATGTGGATCCCCATTTTGCCCAATTGGAGGGCTCTTACATTGAATGCATTCAATCACACATCCCCAATAATTCCACAAACAATTACCAATGTAGCATGCCTATGGAAGGGCTGTAAAAATGGAATTAGACACCAAGTATTTTCTGCCTAAACAGGTGCACTTGTATTGCTTCTCTTTCCTGTTTCAGTTTTTCTTAGTGAAAGTTCATGTCTCCGATTGACCCCTTGTGCGACTTATTTAAAATAAAACCATCTATCCTTCCTACAACTATTGCCTTATGTCGAAATAAATCCATGGTATTAAAGAAAATCGAAGATTACGATTTAGTGATATTTATGATTTGATATTCGTAGCAGTTAATATTTAATTCATTAAATTATCGAAAAACTATTTCATTCATGAATTACCCTCCAGTGCATCAGTAAAGCACATGCAAAGAAAAAAGTAAAACGTTTCCGCTTGTTATTTTATTAACAGCAAGTTAATTTTGGGGGTTTCAAAATCGTGAGGTAATGAAGGATGGTTTTTGTCGCATGAAGTATTTATTTATTTACATCAAATGGCAGGCGTTTTGATAGTTATCATTAGCCCTTTAGTTGGCTTCAGGCTTCACAGAGGGAAGGAACATCAAAGTCATAAAAAGTCGAGAGGGGGGGGGGGAATAGAAGAGTATTTCAAAGACAGACACAAAGGTAGAAAAAGGTGAGGTGAGTAATATGGAAGTAGTCGAATATAACATACAGTGTGGTGATGGTAGTTTGAAGTCAGAAGTCAACAACCGATTGATGAACATTTTTTGCGATATGAGTATACGTTACCCAGGGTGCACCACGTGGAGGTAAATCTATCGCACACCCCAAAAAATGTGCAAAGAAGAGCATTTTGACACCCTCGTACACAGGCGCCCTTACAGGGACTTGAACCCTGGACCCTCAGATTAAAAGTCTGATGCTCAACCGACTGAGCCATCCGGGTTCTTGTTGCATGAAGTAAGTACTGATGTTAGCAGGGGTCGGTCTCCCTTGAGGTTCATCTTCCTAAGATTATATCCATTAATAAGATACTTTTGAAGACGTAATAAATCTAAATGGGAAGAAAAGTCAGTCAAATAGGTATTTTCTTTCCTCTCGAAAATTAATTTTTTTCACCTGCTTTAAGTGGTTAATTCGGTTATTTTCTACTTTAATAGGTTGCACAATTCCTTTACTTATAACAATTTTTGCCATACCAAATATGTATTATTTCGTATCCAATATAATAGAGAAAAATTCATTAAACATTATTATCAAAATAACAATTTTGAGATATTTAAACCAAATAAAATGACCTATGGGTAACTTTCAATAACTAAAATCCAACTTGATATTCTGCCAATCTAGATATTTTCATATTGATTCTTTATATCAGTCTAAATAAGCAAGAATCAATTGAGTGAAAGCAAGCCTTTTCCATGCCGAAATTATTATTTAGTATAAAAAATGGCATGTTTGCTTAAATCGCGATAGGAACCAACTGCGTAAATAGGGAGTAATGAAAAGTTTGCAAAATTCCATATGAACCAGAATAGCAATTTTTTGCTGTTGGTAGAAAAGGTCGGTTTTGTACTTTTAACAACGTTAATTTAGGTTTCAGTTTTGCTAAAATAGTAATATTTATGAAAGTTTCAGAATATTAAACCTTGCCTGTACCTCATAGGCGCCCATTTATTTATATGATGGTATAGAATATACCACTTAAAAGGATCAGGTTCCCCAATCAAAGTTGCAGAGCGAATTCACCCAGATTTATATCGATTTTTTAATTTAAAAATCCTATGATTCTACTTTAATTCATTACCCTATTAGCAAGTAAATCAAAGAGTTCATACATGAGTAAATCTCTAAGCCACTTAAAAATGTACAATTAAAACTATGTTTGCATGATTAATACGAGCTCTAAATAGGTAAATACCAAGATTTAACAGGTTTTAAATTTACTAAATATCAAATATGTAGTGCCAAAATGTACGGTCCGTGATTGCTGAGTTTCTACACATCATTGACAGTTGAACGATAAAAAAGAAGTCGTGCCCAAATACTTACTTGAAAGAGCCCTGCTTTTTAAGTTAATATTTGCGAATATTGAAAATCTAAGATTCCAGCTTTTAAACTTAAGTTTAAAAAGAAGTCACCATGCCTGCACTATAAACTTGATTTTAAATAACATTATATATCAAAACTACTTAAAAGTAAATAATAAATTTTAATTTAAAATAGGAAAATGAAAATGCTCGTGATTTTATTAAAAATTTCAAACTTTTAGTATTTCTTTTCCAACCGTAATTCATTTGTCAAATAATTAAACGTATTACTTATAGCGTCCTCAAGGTCAAATAAGATGGTGGCTGGCTTAGCAACATACTGACTATCTGCTTTTGGAGTTCTATATTGACCATTTCTCCTTTTTCGTTTCAAACAGAGGATTTAACGTTTTATTTTTGATAATTTAAAATGAAGACGACAGCTCGTACTCCGGCATTGTCCACGGTTGAGCGGGCAGTCAAAAGTATTAATGAATTTTGTATATTAATATAATTTTACTTAGACGTCCCATATCCTCCAAGCCGCCGACTTACCATTAGTGACATTTTTGAATCCAGAGGAAAGCCAAATATCGAAAAATTGAGACAACATTTTCTCCTCGAAGGCCGAGTAACTGATGAGGCGGCTCTTAAAATCATTAATGATGGTGCTGCTCTACTTAGAGAGGAACCTAATGTATTAGAAATTGATGCTCCCGTTACCGGTTAGTTTGATTTACTTATTTTACCCGTTTAATAAATATTGAATTATCTACTTACGTATTTTATATGATAATAAATAGTTATTTTTCATTTTTAAAATTCGTACTGTTTGACTTTTTTGGAATCCGATCTAATGACGTCCATCTTTTGCTGGAGAATGTTTGATATTAATTTCAAATTTTAGTCTGTGGTGACATTCATGGTCAATTTTTCGATTTAATGAAACTATTTGAGGTTGGCGGTAACCCGGCGACTACAAGATATTTATTCCTCGGTGACTACGTTGATCGTGGCTATTTCAGCATTGAGGTGAGCGTCGATTTTTATCCTAAAATCATTCATTTTATTCATGATTTGAGTCTTAATTTATTAGCTTGAATATACAATTGGGTAGTTATTTTTAATATCCTATCCATTACTTCGTCTATTGTTGTTAGCGATTAATTTTGCTACCGCTTTATCATGCTACTTCTTTTCCCCCTGAATACCATTCTGCGTGGTTTAAATAAATAACGTTCACTAGTTACATTGAGTTTATTTAGTAAATCATTTTTATTGAGATTTTCTATTGTTGTCTTGCACTTTTTTTGCCTTGTCGTGGCTACAACCTAGTGTTTATTGAAAGTTTTTATCAAAATTTGAATTATTTACTTATCGCTAGTCACACATATTTCCTGAATGAGGTTTCGCACGTTAGTATTGTTGCTGCTGGTACTTTGATTTATTCAAGGATTTTGCCAATTGTGTTTGTCCAATTTGCCATAACGCACATCAAAGTGTTGTGCCCAATATGTGCACAACACTGTGCCTATCTAACATGCGCTGTCCCATGGGCAGGCGTGTGTGTAAATTACGTATTTCCTTTCCACGAACACTGCCTGCTTAACTTAGTCGTAAAATTTTCCTGGATTACTACAAGCGTGCGCATGCATGCAGATCTATAATGCCTCCCCCCTTTCGATGTATACTTGTTACGCATCGTTGAGCCTTAGAAATGGAAGTTGAAGTATTACTGGTGTATAGTCTTGGTGTAAGCCTAATTGTGTGACGTTTTTTGGTCTTCAGGGTAAAAAGAGCAGTTCATCACCCCTTAAGCCACATCTAAATGTCATGGCCTATGCCTTGCCTTTAGAGCAGGGCGTGTCATAACACTGATTGCAATTGAGTCTTCTATTACTTCTATGCAATCACAGTCATTTCTCTTGCCTATGAAATCATGTAATTGTTGGGGGG